TTTCGCGGACCATATTCAGCGGCAACGGGCATTTTTTTTAAGTTTATCACGTGAGCTTTTGATCCTATGTTACGCAGCTATCGAATTTCTAGCGCTTCCATCGCGCTCAGTTTCGGTTTCTCCTTGATGGTGGCCTTCAATGTCAATAATCTATACCCCAAACTACGCGTCCTTCAACAGCCAAGCTTCCAGCAAGTCATTCCGTGTGACTTGGCCCCCCAAAAAAAGCTATCGTCGTCATACACGGCTATGCGCCGCAGAACTTTGGTAAATCAAGCTACTTCACACTGGTCCTCTAGAAACGAAGAAGCCAACAGCTAGCCTAACAACAAATGGCTGCTAAGTCATGATTTGATTTGATTTGTGGGGTTTAACGTCCCAAAACTACCGTATGGTTATGAGAGACGCCGTAGTGGAGGGCTCCGGAAATTTTGACCACCTGGGGTCCTTCAACGTGCACCCAAATCCGAGTACACGGGCCTACAACATTTCCGCCTCCATCGGAAATGCAGCCGCCACAGCCGGGATTTGATCCCACGACCTGCGGGTCAGCCGCCGAGTACCTTAGCCACTAAACCACCGTGGTGGCGGGGCCTGCTAAGCGATGGCCGTGAACCGAAGACCTCGAGTATATACGTGCAACGAGAGAACACAGTAAGGAATGGGAAAGGCAACGGTTACAGCGGGAAGACCTCGAACCGATGCAAGGCCTATACGCCAACGCCGATGTGCCTGTAGGTCTATAGAGGTGCCAAAACTTGGTTCTAGGGCGAGTTCTTCCCTCTGGAGTTTGCGCAAGTGTATCGTGTCATGCCTGTGACTGCCTGCGTGTATTACCTCTCTGCACTGATAATCATCGTGGAAACTTCCTAGTATCCCCTAGATATACAGGTTATTCCCAACAACAAGTAATTCAGAAACAACCCGCATAACATAGCTAAGGCTTGTACAGTTGGGGACACTTGAGCCTCGCACCGTTCAAGAGAGTCTAGGTCGTGACAGCTTACTCTGGCTTCGTGCGCATCGGCTTCTGGACTGCTTCGGTTCTCGGTGCATGCCTTGACCTTGCCGTATAAGGAAACGAACGAATGTGTGTGTAACATTGGCCATTTCAGAGTATTATTTAGGGCCTATTGGAAGCTCAGTTGTTGCATGGTTATGTTTTCCGGAGCCCTACACTACGTCCTGCCTCATTATTATATCGAGGTTATTACAGTTATATCCCGACGTTTTATTTTATGCGATAGCGGTCATATGGAGACTCTCAGCGGATTTTAGCCATTGCTGTCATGCTCACTATATATATATATATATATATATATATATATATATATATATATATATATATATATAATATATATATATATATATATATATATATATATATATATATATATATATATATATATATATATATATATATATATATATATATATATATATATATATATATATGCAATTTGTGTGTGTGCGTGTGTGTGTGTAGTTTGGGGCCCCTTTAACTAACGAGACCATGCTGCTCATTTCGTTCTTTAATGCATGGAAACAATGCATTCAATTGTTGTTATAAAATTTACCGTTTAAAAATTATGCTCACAGTGCACTTATAGATATGTATGAAGAAGTGACACACGAAGACAAGCGCTGACACTAACCTCTGGAGAGTATGAAGTTGGGTGTGTTGGTAAGACATAACTAATGACGTAGCGCGTAAAATATGTTAGACACAGGACAACGGAAGGGACAAAGGGCAGCACTTGCTTCCAAAGTTAGAAGGAAGCGCTCCCCTTTGTCCTTGCTCTTGTCCCGTGTCTCACATATTTTGTGCGCCATGTCATTGGTTAGTAGCAACTGAAATTCATTTCGAACGAACGTGCTGGTAAAAATATGCATAGTTGTCTCTGCGTGAGTATGCTCCTTCGAAATAAATGCCAGTTTTAGCACTTTTCTTCGTGTGTCCCTGAGTGAATTCCTGCAGCCGGTCAAAAACTTAGCTAAGATTATTCTATTTTTTGTTTATTCTTGTGTCGATCACTTTGTACCTCATCCACTTCCGAAATAACTTTTTATATCAACCGATGGTTTCATGGTCAATCCACCATGGTGGCTGGAAGCCATATATCAAGAAAGAAGGAAGCAGACAAGCTTCTTTCACCATCTAGCTGCTTACCACTGCAATGTGTGGGACAATTTGAGGTGGACGATTTGGTGAAGTGCATTGAAACTGTACTTTTCGCAACCGTCACCGGTATCGCCGACGTCGACTGAAACCAAGGAAAAAGAAGCCGAATGAATGCCGGACAAACGCCGACGGAAACACTGTGTGTAGTTCGGTCTTTGTGATGTCACCATGTGTTGTACGAACATCTGCGGAACAGCTCCAATGGAATGCTAGTCGCCCAGCAGACACCGCCTAGACTTTTTTCAAGGCCTCCGCAGGTCTGTGTGACGTAATCACTGTGAGATGTGCCTGGAAGGCGGCGCCACTGAAGTGACGGGCACGCGTTTTATGTTTTCGCGGCCCGTTGCCGTCGTAGCACTTTTTTTCTTTCTGTGATCTACGCCTAAAAAAAAAAAAAAAAAACTAATGTTGATTTTTTTTTGCACGAGGTGTAAAAGTTATAAATCCGCAATAAAGCCTTCAGTTTCGGAAGGCGCTGAAAGGTTTTTTTTTTCATGTCTCAGTAGATCCACCAAAAGATTTTTGCAGAACAAGATTACACATTTTATGACCATTAAAAAGAAACAAACAATGAAATGAATCATTCAACAAATATTTACGCCGAAAATTTTCACAAACTTATTTTGTAAAACATAAAACAAAGCAGCCATGATATGAGCTGCATTATCTTTTCAACACTTTGTTCACTTATTCTCACTATGTTTAGCTCAACTCATTAAAAAAAAGTTAAACATAATTTCCCCAAATCTTTAAACGACTCTTCCAAACAGCTCAATTTCTACAAGGAAGGTAACCTTCACAACAAAACAAAACTAGTGAGAATAATTGATCAAACTTTAGAGGCAAAAAAAAAAAAACAGTGTTGCCATTGAAAAAAGCCATTGCTTCTGCTTCTCACAGTCATAAAATGTGGCTGCATGTACTGCGCTAAGGAGATTCTCGAGAACAATGTACATCATGATCATGGAGTTCACAACAACAGCTTGGGGAAACTTCAGTTCCACTCTTGGGATGGTCATTATGAGTTCGTCTGCCCCAATTATTACAGTCTTATTTTCAAAAACTAGGTTGTCTTTACAAAACGCACGTGTAAGCTTTTTGAAAGCAGCGTGTGCACAATAACCAGCTGCATACGTTGTAGCTGAAAGTGTGTGCTGCTTAGCCGCAATGTCCTCTTCTGGTGTTGTCCTCTTTGTAGATTGTTACATAATTCATGTGATGACCAGTGCGTCAATTTCGTCATACCAACTTACCGTCCCTTACTGACTTTAGGTTGCCACAATGTTAAGGAAGGTTTCATGAGAGCACTCAGCGTAAGCGGTTATATAGATAGATAGATAGATAGATAGATAGATAGATAGATAGATAGATAGATAGATAGATACGCTCAAAGGATCAGAAGTTGATAAAAATTATAAAACAAATATTTAACTAAAGTTGACTCCACGGCAGTCACTTGAAAGAGAAATTGTAGGTGCAGTAATTAGTTGTGGCAACCCTAATCAATCCAGCGGAAATAAACTTTCCAAATTCTTTGTACAACGCATCGAGAATCTTCAACGCGTACTGCACGTGCTACGCTTACAGTACTCATATCGTAGTACGTCGCCCACGCATTGATCGTAACCAGCCTCAGGCCGTGACATGCGGTTAAAATTCCTACTAGCAACATCAAAACTTGCTCTGTCCCTGCGTAGGCTTTACTTGTATATTAAGGCTACTGCACAACAACCACTTGCACTCCACTCAATAATCGTCTGCGTTCGCAATCTTCTGCGCCAATATGAGAAAGTTCATTGAGAGAAGCCTTTATGGAAAGCTACACACCCTGGAGCAGCCAGGTGTGGACGTGAGATTCCGTGCTCGCGCGTACGTTTTACGACGTGCTAGCCTAGTTAGAGCCCGTGTCCTCGACCGCGCAGACTGACCAAAGGACACCACCTGCTCAGTCGAGGCCTCGCGAACGGTGTTACGGGCTGCGTATCGAACGGGCAACATTTGCGAACCAATAACAAGGACACGTCCTTGTCTAACAGTACAAAGTCGTTCCGCCAGTTTTCATTCAGTGAATGCGAGACGGCGCAGCATCCACCACCTCCCGGGTCACGTTTCCGCTTTGCGCTTGCACGTAAGTCGACAGACACGCTCCCAGAGCAACACTTTACAACGCGCCCACGCCGCGCCGCAATGGCCGCGCCCGTGTTAATCGTCCCACGCAACGGCGAGCAGGGCATCGAGGAGAGTGTGTACGCGAGCAGAGCAAAAGTGGCGGCCGAGTACGGGCTCAAAGGGCCAGCGACTGACATCAAGAAACACCCGAGTCCATCCCACCCGAACACAGCGCCCGAAAACGGTGTGCAACCTGGCCGCGATTTCGAGGGAGAAACATCAGATAAAAGAAGGAAGGAGGCCCTAGGCTTCTGTAGGTCAACGGGGAGGAGGGCGGTGTCAGTGGCGAGGCGACGTCTTCCTGGAGAACGCCCGGCAAATTTCGGCGCTCGAGAGACCATGAATGAAACAGCTGCTGTGCACGCTCTCTATCACTCTCGCATGAACGTTGCGCGAGGGAAAGAAAAGAAGTTGCGGGGCGGATTCGGAGGCCGCCGTCCCGGGATATTGACCTGAACGACGGCGAGCAGCAGCGCGCCCGCTCGCCACGAGGTAGTGCGCGCAGCGCTCAACCCTCTCGTGGCGACCGTTGGAGGGCGCCGCATGCCTCACCTCCGAGTGTGGTTCTCGAGCGGCGAGTGGTTGCGGCGACGCGGATCCCCTAAACCGGTTCGCCAGCGCTTTGCATTGCCAGTTTTCGCCCCCGCGGCCCCGGCGGCGCAGCAACCGCTAGCTCCGAACTTCCGACGCAGTTTCTGTTCGGAGTGAACGCCACACGGTGGACGTGCATCTTCGTGAGGAGGAACCGCGCGTGATGACCGGCGTGGTAGCAGCGCGACGAGAGGACCTTCATCCTATCAGGTGCTCCCGCCGACAGGTAGCGACGATGGCGAGGTGCTCGTTCCTGCCGATCGGAATACCGTTTGTCGTGTGCGTGGTGCTCGCCGCTTTCGCGGTCGTCTGCTGCGGTGCGACGACGGACTGCAGCGCGCCGCGAGACCTGCTATCATCGACGCTCGGAGGCGGGGACCACAGGTGGACCGAAGTGCTCGCCGCTTCGCCCACGTCCGGTGAGTTTTCGTTTTGTCGTTCGGTTAGCGCGCGCTTGTTTTACGCCGCGTTAGTTGCAGCGTCGTTCCGAAAGTTGCACGCTCTCGGCGACTCACCGGCCGGTGGATCGCGCGGCCATATGGTCGCCGAGTTTCGCGTGTGTTGGCCTCCGTGCTCGCCGGCGGTCCAGCTTTGCTCGTGGCGGGCTCTTATTACTGTTCTTCTTTTCACCGGCAGGAGAGGCAGGGGCTCGGCCGTTGCTGGCCGCAGGAATGCGCACGGGCGAGCTTTTTCTTTCTTGTCGCCGCCACCACCCGGCTGCCGTTGCTGCCCCTGGGCGGGTTGAGGGGGTTCCGGGGTGGGGTATGGGGGGACAACACGGGGGATGGGGGGTTCGTTTCCTTTGTGACCGCGCTGTGTATGTGTGTGTTTGAGTGTGCGCACTCTGGCCGAGCATCTTCCACTGACGACCTCCTCCTTTTACTTCGCGCCTCCGTCTATGCCATCCGCGACGGCTTTATTCCCACGGCACTTTTGTGAGTAGCGAGGCGCCGTCGCCGCGGGCGGCCAGGCATCTTTCTGCGGCGGCCTGTTCACGCAGGTTTCTGTTGTCCCTCCACACCGGCTCACAAGGGCTGGGCGGCGGGGTACCGACCACCAGTTTCTCAGAAGTCTTCTACTCTCGCGGTGAAGGAAAGGTGTGCACCACCGTGGAGATATTACTCGCGGCCATCTCCTCTGTGCGTCTTCTCGGTGCGGTATGCGCCTCGCTCTTGGGGTCCTTTTCGAAGTACGCGGCGAAAAACAGGCGAGCGCGCCCTCCTACCTCGTTTCAAACGTTCAGGCGTCCCTCCTTGTATGACGTCGGTTCAAACTGGGACGCCGCCGCGCGAGAGCTTTCCGTTGCAGGAGTGTGTACCTTGTCAGCAGGAAGAGAAAAAGAGGTCCGCCGGCGTTAGCAGCTGCGGAGGCAACTGCGGCAACCGTGTTCTTTCGTGATCGAACCGTCACGTCGTGGACCTCGGAACGTGGAGCTGTCTCTGTAGGAAAAAAAGAGCAAGTCTGCTGACAGTTTCCCATAGTGCACGAGTCCTCGCGATCGCCTCTCATGTGTTGTAGCCTCCTTTTGATCTTACCGGCCCGGCAACAGCTGTTGCTCAAGCGAGAAAAAGAAAAAGCGTGGATGTTTGAAAAACACCGATAGGCGACTCCCGAAGAGAAAAAATATGCAATCGAAGAAAGCGGACGTTATCGATTATTGAGTGCGATTTCCCGAGGCGCAGTCAACAACATACTGTGATTCTTGCGGGCGTTTCAGAAGCTTTGGCGCGCTTCGTTGTAACCGCTTTTTTTCGTTCCATCCTAAATCTCCACCGCCCCTTGAACTCGACCACTCTCGTCTACGAAGTTTCCTGTTGACGGGCGTGTTGGAATGCATACGTGCTTAGACAGGATTTGAAACGTAGCTTATTGAAGATGACATAAGTGGGTTTATTTCACGCCTCAACGGTCCGGCTCATTTGGCTTCTACGCGTGTAACTGCTTCGCTGGATCAGCCATGAGTTTGCCATCCGCAACGTCTCCCAAGTGGCTGCGTTGCGGACGCTCCATTTTTCGGGTGTCAAAGGAAAAGCCGCTTTCTGCGAAAGGGAGATCGTTTGTTTGTCTCCGTATAGGACTGATTAGGACCGAGGAGTACTGGTGCTCGAAGGCGCGCTACGGAGCTCGAGAAATCGCTCAGGCGCGGGGCGTTCTTTCAAGTGGGCGATGGATATTCGACGATTGCACTGAAGAGAACTTGAGAAATTACCGACCTATAGGAAGCACTGTGCCTGTGCGTACGGAAAATACAGATATATATCTAACGAAAGCTTATTTTACGACACTCTCTATTCGTCGAAATACTTTAGCTGCCTCGGTACATGTTCACGGAGCATGCTGGAGCACTTGAAGTTGCGAAGTGAACTTAACGTTCCGCCCTGTTTAACGATGCTTAAGGGAAAGAGGACGAGATTAAGATGTAATGTTGAGATATGCGTATGCGAGGTTCCCGGTTGAGCTGGGAAGAGAAAGTGGCCACGATAAACGCGTGTGTAGGCGAGCTCACAATTCTTTGTTTGTTTGTTTGCTTGAATAAAGAAATAATATCTCCACGGATATTCGGACTATTTCTGACGCACCAAAGTTCTAATGTGGTGCTTTTAGTTAATTCGGGTTTAACGCTGGTTGGCAAACGTCGCTCGCGATAGAAAGCGGGATAGCGGCAGTTTGTTTACTCGCCCGTTCGAGAGGATGAACGCGCGATTTCGCAAACGTCGAAAGCAGTTTCAGCGGGGACCGTTTCGATCCTCGCGTCATGGCTTCGTGCTTGCATTTCGCCACAGCTGCGTGCATCGATGGGCCGCAGCTTGTGAACGGTGACAGGCACCACATGTACACGCGTCGCCACTGAACCGGCGCAACAAGTTTAAGAGTTGCGCACCTATTTCGTTCCTTACGTGCAGGCGCAACGACGACAAAAACTGGTAAAGGTGTTTTGAGTGATTTGTGTGGTTTACGTCCCAAAACCACCATCTGATTATGAGAGACCCCGTAGTGGAGGGCTCCGGAAATTTAGACCACCTGAAGTTCTGTAACGTGCACCCAAATCCGAGCACACGGGCCTACAGTATTTCCGCCTCCATCGGAAAAGCAGCCGCCGCAGCCGGGATTCGATCCCGCGACCTGCGTATCAGCAGCCGACTACCTTAGCCACTAGACCACCGCGGCGGGGCCTGGTAAAGGTGTTGGAAGAGTAGTTGAAGAGCACAAACCGCAGGGCCATTCATTCGGGTCTAAGCGTGCGACTGACTTTTGCAGTCGCCCGATTTCCTCGTCTGCTTTCGAAACGAGGATAAAAAAAGATTGGCTGCGTCTCCTGATTGAACTATTCCACAGGTAGACTTCTTCCTCAATCTACACATACTACATCACGGAGTGTGCCTGGCGATGCTGTTATGCGTCTAAAAACAAAAACAAAGGAATAAATTAATGTGGCGATTAGTGCCTCTAAGCAGCGCGACCTCAGTGTTAGTGGTGCGTCGATGTAGGCGCCCATGTAGCCTCGTCTCGTCATGTAGAACACCCAAGTTCCGCGGACACTCGGTGATTCATTACTTGAATAGAGTTCTGGCTCTTACTTTCAGTCGGTTCAGGAACCGCTAGATATAGATTCTGTGGGATTGTGCGGAACATACGTTCTGCTGATGGCAGACCGTCTTGCCCAGTTTATAAGCTGGTTAACGTTAGACACTGGAAAGCATATGAAGAGGACGATTGTTTGCTTCCGCCTTTCTACGCTATACCCGGTACGGGGGTCAGTCGGAAACTGTTATAATCAAACTCATGTGGAGTCGAATATGTGTGATTGGCTGATAATGGAACAGATCTCTGCTAATCCCTCCTGTTCGTTTAAGCCAGTGGTCTCAAACACGTGGACTTCTTGGTAGCGGCCAGCTATAGCTGGCGCGAGTCAGTGATCTCCTAATTAGTCGAACCGATGTTATATCCTCACTTAATCTCTTCCTCAATACCGATTTTCAGTTGCACGGATTCTACTACTTTATAAATAGACCGCCGGTTTGTCTCTCCACGAGGCGCGCTTGGCCTGCAGCCGTGTCCGCTTGTTTCTATATGAGTCGCCGGTCTAACCACCTTTGCAAGCTATCTTTTATCGCTGTATTTGTGATTCCTCGAGTTATCGCACAGTCCTTAGTTTCATTTGTAGCTCTTCTGTCCGTATCCTGGTCGCGGCCCCTTATCAGATAGTGTTGTTGGAAAATAATACTTGGAGAGAGATAAAGCTTGTTTGCAAACGGTACTGCTGGCAGAGAGTGTGTAACCGCTCATAGTTTGCCTAAAAAATGTGGAAGTCGGTGAGCACATTATTCCGTCGCAGTGTGCGGTGACAGCCATCAGTATAGCGATAAGCGGGGACGTCCAATAAAAGACTGCCAGAAGATCGGGTGGCACACAGCGTGGGATACAACACGCAATAAAGTGGACGCTCTCCGTTACATGACGAGTAAGCATGAACTGTAAAGTTAGCGGTTTCAATACATATATCTCATGTCCAATGTTGGCGTGTTCGGGCCACCGCCTCCGTTTTTCATCATCATCACGTGGTTGTTTCTTGGGATAAAGCTTTGGATTATATACCTTGAACAAAAATTCGATTAGCAGTTGCCCATGATTTCTATAGAAACCAGTTCCTAACTTTCTATCAATATTCGTCGCAAGATCCCATGATGAACTTTTTTTCGAGTTGAGTTTAAAGAGGGTATAGTCGTGTTGACGCATTTCGTTCTTACCATCTTTCTCGTCGTGCCTCTCTTAGCTGTTATATCTAAACACTTGGAAAAAGCGAGAGTTGCGAATGCCATCAGTTCAATTTAAAAAGGCGTCGCACTCACCATAATTTGATTAGAGTGTTGCTAATACAATACTATGCGGCTTGCGCTGTGACTCGTGAAGACGAGCATTTTCACCGGTTTCGATTCGTATTCTGCGGCGACCTCAGCTGAATGGCAGCCTGGTGCTAACAGAATAATTGAGATAATTGAGAGCGGCGGCTGTGCGTCGGGAAAATAACGCCATGATCCGCGCGTGCGTGGCATCCCTACGCTCCGCTGGTGCATTGAATAAATTGGTGTTGCGTTGCGCCGAAAGGCTCGCGCTAAGCCCTAGCCACACACAGGCGCTGCAACGCGTCAGCGCGTGGTGTGTAAACGTGGTGCTGCGCCCTCTTCCTAGAAGACAGAGAGAGGGCGCGGGGCCGAGTCCATTCAGTATACGCACTGGCGCGTTGTAGCGCGTATGTGTGGTTAGGACTTTAGGTTCCTCTTAGCCCTAATCAAGGTGTTGTCAGTGTATAGTCACAGTCGCGCATCACAGACGCACGTCGACTCATACAAGTGGTTTCGAAAGGATAAATTGATCCCACTGTTACCAAAGGCAAGAGGCGCTCAAGCACGCGTAGGCA